AAAAAAAATACCTATTTACTAGTTTCTTGAAATGAATAGGAATCCTTTGCAGACACTGCTGCCTATTTACTCTCTGAAGATTGACAAAAGATTTTCCAACTACTTTTTAATTTAAATCTACAAACTTTTAAAAAATAAAGATTTGTGATTTCCCCTTTCAGTTTAAAATACAAAAAAAATTAAAAATGTTCACGCCTTTGATTGCCCTTTTCAGTTTATTTATTATTGTCAGTTCAATTATTGCTGATACATTTCGCTTTCATAGATGCCTAATCTATGTAGTTACTTTCCCAGTTCTAAAGCAGATACATCTTGGAAGTACATTTCCTTCACCCTCTGGTGTGCTATTCACTGAGCTACTATTCAATTCATGAGGAAACTATAAACGATTTAATTTATATATGGATAAAAATAAATAATAGATAAAAAAATAATATTTGTGGATCCATCGATATACATAATTGAAAATGAATTTTAATTATTTATAAATTTTGACAAACAGAAGCTAAATAAGAAAAACATTAGATCATCAGGTTACTGATTAAACCGATAAATTAGTTACTCAACATACATTAGTTATTTGGTTGATAAAAAACTCTACTTAACAAAGCAGCTTGATGGAAGGAGACCAACAGTATAACATGGGGGACCTAGTTTTCAAATCATTTTTCCAATAGCTTTATAAAAATGTTGAAAGAGAAAAAAAGGGGAGCCTCTATTTTCATTCACCATTTTTATTTTAAAATTGCTCAACAACAAACAACATTAAAGTATTAAAAAAGAAGAAAAAAAAAATCAAGGTTTAGGACTTCATCACCACAATATTTGAAGGTCTGGGAACCAGATGCAATTTACCCTAAATTTAATTTCTCTTTTGTGTATTTTAACATCATCTTTTTGTTTTGAAGGAGTCGGAGCATATTATAAAGAATATTGTTATTTAGCAATACTAATCTAAGTGACACTAAGTGTCATCAAATGATTGGTACAATTAAATGAATATTATAGTTTTACATTTAATCGAACATTTCACATAATATAACATAGGCTGGTATTCTAGTACCACTAATGCTAGATAGTATTATTCTATCTGTTCTGCTACAGTTACAGTTTGTTGACATTGTGTGACAATGCAAATATTTTTGTTATTAATTTTAACAACACTTAAAATAATCGGCGATCTCGATTTTGACACCTCACACAATATCGAGAAATATGTACATTTTGAAGGTAAAAATAGCTTAATCCTTATTCCATCTAGCATTGCCTTTATATAAAAGAGTGAATAAGAGTTCACTGTTCATTTTTCTGATCTCGTTTTCACACCCAAACCGAATTGTTACTGTTCAGTAACCAGTTTTTAACTGTCCATATAAAATATCTAGATGGAAACGACGTCGTATAGAAAAATATCTCCAACATAGTTCATTTGTGTCCGGCCGTATATGCTTTTAAAAGTTCATACCCATAAAATATATATGAAAACGAAACCGGCGTAGAAATCCCACTTCTTGCTCTTCTTTGTCTTCGACGAATTTGCTGATTATCGGGATTAATTCTTTATCTTCGACGTATTTGATGATTATCGTGATTGACATTAAAGGTAGATTTTTACTCATTGTTTTATTTTTTCTTTTTCATTTTTTTTTTTTTTTGGCAACCTGCTTTCGATTTTTTCATTTTTTTTAGTTTTATGTGTTCGTTCTTTCCTATCTTCCGTTAGGTATACACAAATCTTTCAGGAGGATTTTGTTCTATATTGTCTATGGTATTGTTAAAGGGTAAGCTTAAAATTTATTTTTTTTGCTTGATAAAAGATAGGCTTAAAATTTTATACACAAGATGATAAAAACTATATAGAGAGAAATCGAGAGAAGAGAGAAGAAGAAAGAAAAAGAAGGGTTGAAAGACAGAGAGATCGTGAAAAACAAAATAAAAGACAAGAATAAAGAGGAGGAAGAAAAGAAGACGACAGAGGAAGGAAAATGAAACACTAGCAATCTTGAAGATTTGAACCATTTTAACTTTGCTCTTAGAATAATATAATAAGTTAATGCTTTTAGAAAATTTTAGGGTTATAATTAAAACCGAATACTTCTTTACTATACTTTCTCCAGACAATGCGAGTGAATGGTTGTGGGATAGCAAGAGTATTAAACATTCAGAATGATAAAATGTTGGCTCTAGAGAAAGAAGAAAAAAAAGTTCAATGATGTCTCCGTGCGCGCACGGTGATGTCCTTCTCCGTGCACGGAGAAGGTCTCCGCGTCTCCACGGAGACACTCCCTGTGTCTGTCTCCATAGAGACATGGAGACACGACAACATGGACTCTTTCAAAAACACACAAATTCCTCTATTCTTCTTCTTGAGCTGTATTAGTAGGCAATCTCAGTCGCTCGAACCCCAAATCTTCTAATTGTCACAACTTAATTGTCAGGTTGTTAATGGGTTAGGGTATTTTGGCTAGATTGCAAACTAAGTGGGACACCAGCATACTATAAAGGGGAGGGAGTTCTATTTTCATTTAGACAGACATTGAGGGTGAAATTGGGGACAGAGACAACCTCTCAAAAGAAGGCCATTTGCTGTAATTCATTCTCATTGTTCAACGTAATTTCTTTATAATTTCCTTTCAATTGTTAAAAAGTTATCACACATTCAAATTAGGTTCTTATAAGTATTAAGTGAGCTACATGAATTCTTTTCTCCACTTCATTATCCATGTAAAGATCTAATACATGAAAACATTTGCGGCCGCATTAGGCATAAGTTAATTTTACTTCACCTCTCCTACTAGTGTTAATTTATCCCTCGACATTCACTAAATTTCTTGTATCACTTTTCTGATAAAATGTCTGTGGGCTTATTGGGCTTGTTTGGTGGTTCTCTTTAACGCCATTGTTGGGCCTATGCTATAACCCGGTTTGTGTGCTTTTTCTTTGAATCATCTGTAACCCTTGATTCAACCTATGGTTGAGATTAAAGTGG